GATATACTGTGTCGCTATTTAGTGGCAGACTTTAGGGATCGTTCCATCTTAGACAATAATTTGTGGCTAAATTTTGTGGCTGAAAATGTCGGCACAAAACAATGGCAGAATTATTCCGCCACTAAACTCCGTCACTAAATTACACATATTAAATTCTACTCACCAACCAAAATCATTGTCCACAAATATCTCATCTACCACTTTCTCTACAAGCTCTCTTCATTCGATCTGCCATGTCCATACGAGAGAGTTAAGAAATTTATCATTTCTTAATTAAATTAAAATTTAATCTATATGTCTTTTTTTAGCTAATTAGTTCTTAATTACTAATAAAGTAAACTTATTATTACATTCTTTATTAGCTTCTTCCGATCTATTTAATTATTTTATGATTCATTTACAAAGAAAAATGAATATCTGTATTATATTGTGTGCTAGGTTCATGTAGATGCTAAAATGCAAATGACACCATGTTTAACAATATTATAATACGTACTTATTGTACGTGTTTTTGTTGCTTGCTTTGAAATATGTAGGAAAATTTCAAAGAAATTTAAGAACTATAATAAAATTAAACATTGTTGGTTGTTGTTTATTTTTATATTAATTGAAAGATAAATAATTGAAGTTGTTTATCTACATACTATTAATATATATATTGTTGATAAGAAAGTAGTCACGAGGTTATGAAAGTTCCTTAAATTAATTAATTTAATTTACTATGTGAGGTGAAGATCTAATATTTAATAGCATTTATATGTTTAGATTTCAAAATGAGCAATAATAGGTCTTGGATGTATGAAAGACTTGAAAATTGAGGCTTTCTAAATGAAGACTTCAAAAAAGGAGTTAATGAGTTTATTCAAAAGGTGAATTGAAGTTGTTTATCTACGTACTATTAATATATATATTGTTGATAAGAAAGTAGTCACGAGGTTATGAAAGTTCCTTAAATTAATTAATTTCATTTACTATGTGAGGTGAAGATCTAATATTTAATAGCATTTATATGTTTAGATTTCAAAATGAGCAATAATAGGTCTTGGATGTATGAAAGACTCGAAAATCGAGGCTTTCTAAATGAAGACTTCAAAAAAGGAGTTAATGAGTTTATTCAAAAGGCGGTAAACTTATATCCAAGTGGGGTTATTGCATGTCCGTGTAGAAAGTGCAAGAATAGAAAATTGTTCACTTGGGATATTGTTAAACAACATCTATTTGAAAAAGGATTTGTTGAAGACTACTATGTATGGGGAGCGCACGGAGAGACATAATTCAAATGGGCTGGTTTATTTGGATGAAGGTAGCTCTTCCCATCATAATACATCTGAAGTTCCATATGACCCATATAAATCGATGTTTGAAGATGCTGTTAGGAATGAATTTCCTATCGGCCCGCCTGATGATATGCATGTGGATGATGATGAGCCTAATCCAATGACAAACAGCATGTATGAAATGCTTGCTGCGACAAGTCAGCCATGTTTTGATGGTTGTCCAATGACGGAGTTGAGTGCCATGACTGAATTGTTGAACTTAAAGACAGAGATGAATTTATCACAGGCTGCCACTGACAGAATTGCTCAACTTATGAATAGGTTTTTCCCAACACATATCTCCAATCGGCCCATCCAGAATTTCAAGAAAATTAAAAGGAAGCTCTCACAATTAGGAATGACCCATCAATCTATTGATTGTTGTCCAAAAGGGTGCATGATCTATTGGAAAGCAGACAGTGAACTAATTGAGTGCAAATTTTGCTGTAGTGCAAGGTACGAGGTCAATAACCAGTCAAGTAAACCAATCCCGCTTTCCAGGATGGAGTATTTTCCGATTACTCCAAGGCTACAGAGGCTTTATGCCTCAAATACAACTGCTGGGGATATGAGATGGCATAAAAGTCACCACAGAGAAGAAGGAGTGATGTGACATCCATCAGATGGAAAGGCATGGATTCATTTTGACAATCTTTATCCATCTTTTGCCGAGGACCCTAGAAATGTTAGACTCGGGCTATGCTCAGATGGGTTTCAACCATTTGGACAATTTGGACAGAAGTATTCATGTTGGCCTATTATCGTGACACCATACAACCTGCCTCCAGGTATATGTATGAAACAACAATTCCTGTTCTTATCCGTATTGATTCCAGGACCAAAGAATCCCACAAATAGGATAGATGTTTATTTGCAACCTTTGATAGAAGAGTTGAAGCAATTATGGGAGGTTGGAACTGTAACTTATGATGCATTTTCAAAGGAGCACTTTAATATGCGAGCTTCTTTGCTTTGGACAATTAGTGATTTTCCAGCATATGCCATGCTCTCTGGATGGAGTACGACGGGGAAATTTGCATGCCCATGTTGTACTGAATTTACAGAAGCATTTTGGTTACCCCGCAGCAGGAAACATAGTTGGTTTGATAACCACCGAAAGTTCCTAGCAGAAGATCATCCATTTCGATTGGACACCGAGAACTTCATTAAGGGTAAAACAGTCATGTATGGCCCTCCATTATATAGAGATGGATTATATTGTTATGGTGAGATGGATGCCCTAATGTCTGTGATCGAATTAGGCAGTTTAGAACACAACAAATTGGTTGGAAAGGATATTGGGTGGAAGAAACGTAGTATCTTTTGGGATCTCCCATATTGGAAGGATTTGCTTATACGCCACAATCTTGATGTAATGCACATAGAGAAGAATTTCTTTGAGAACATATTTTACACGATTCTGGGTGTGCCAGGGAAGTCAAAGGACCATACACGAGGGAGAATGGATATGGAACACATTTGTCATAGACCGGGTATGAAGATGGACCGTGACGGAAAATATCCCAAGGCTCCTTTCACGCTTTCAAACAAGCAAAGAGAGGTTTTGTGCAATTGGGTTGATTCACTTAAGTTCCCCGATGGATTCGCATCTCGATTAGGACGTTGTGTAGAAATGGAGAACCTTAAGGTATTCGGTATGAAGAGTCACGATTGTCACGTTTTTATGCAACGTCTACTTCCAATTGCACTGAGAGAAATGCTACCAGCTTGTATTTGGGAGGCAATTACTGAGATTAGTTTATTCTTTCGTGAGCTAACAAGAAAGACTGCACGAGTTTCTGTCATTGAAAAGCCCAAGGTTGATATTCCTATCATTTTATGTAAATTAGAGAAGATTTTCCCACCCTAATTTTTTGACCCCATGGAGCATCTTCCCATACATTTGCCGGACGAAGTTTTGCTAGGCGGACCACCGCAATATCGATAGATGTATCGCTTTGAAAAGTTAGTGTTTATATTTTTTTCATAATATAGTATTGTGTTATTGATACTCTAAATCATAATTGTTCATATTTACCCAGTTTTTTAGGGTCAGTGTTAAAGAAAAAGATTGGAAACAAGGCTAGAGTTGAAGCCTCAATCAGAGAAGGTTATTTGCTAAGTGAAATGGGTACATTTGCAAGCTACTACTTCCCGGAGGAAGTCACCACAAAAGCACGTGGTGTCCCGAGATTTGATGACGGGTTTATGATTAATGATGATGTCGCTGTTTCCATTTTTGCACAAAAGGCAAAAGTAATTGGTGCAAGCACACGCCGATACATGAACCAAAACGAATCCAATGCGGTGCATTCATATGTACTACAAAATTGCCCAGAGATTGACTCATTTAGGGAGTAAGCATATTTATGTAATTATTGATTTCGTAATAGGACTACTACTTTTATTTGTTTTATATAATGAAAATATAGGCAAGAACAAACCTGATATGTATTATCTAAGTCATCCCTTGTCCATCTCAAGAGTTTCTGTATAGAAGAAACACAATGGTACCTACTTTAGTTGAAAAGCAAACAACACAGAAGTAGGAAAGAAACAACAGCACTAAATAGAGACTTGACAATATAATATATTCATTTTTGGATCCAAAATTGAACCAAATCTTGGAACATCATTCCGCTTATGATCCTTGGAGCAAAAGATCAAAAACCACAGACCGGTATAGACAACAATTCAATTTATAATTTATGTATAACTTAGAATGGAAAGTGAAGAGCCGAAAAGGGACTTCTTGTGGTCTCTTTAATACGTTTCCAACTAAAGCTGAAAGAAAATTATAACAAAAATAAAACAGAAAGTAAAAAAAAGTTGAATCATAGATCAGCAATAAACCTTAACTATATGATTGTTTGGAGATATTATGTATTGTATTTTGCACTCAATAACATTATTTTTTTTGCATGTTTTAGAATATGATTCCTATTAGAGGTCATGGTGTCACCGGGATGAACAAGAAAGCAGACCGCTTATCGCAAGAGAAATCATCAGGTAGTTCGGGTCGCTCAAGACCATCTCTGCCCTTCACTATGCCGGGCAGAAACTCTACCCCCCACTCAACACCATCTCTTAGCCACTCAAAAAAGCATCAACCCTTGTCTAGTAAGGGCAGAAATATTACCCCCCAAGTAGGACAGATACGACAACCTCCACAACCACCCCCGTCCCAGTATCATAATACTCTTGGTCCTAGCCCAAATATCACAGCAGTCACTAACCGGCATCCCACCATTTCATCAACTCAAGGCCCTAATAAAGACCATACTTTGCTCTCCAATCAAGAGAGTCCGTCAACAACAACGAGCAGCAATGAACTAGAAGATAGTGACCCAACAACTCATTCCAATGGAGAAGACGAGCTAGCTGAATGGAATCCTGATGCATACAAAGATCTCGAGTGGGGTGAAGAACCTTTGGACCACTTCAGATCTTTAGCTATAGCAAAATTTGAAAGACCCAATGTTGGGTTAAATGCATCTAGAGTGTGAGTTAAATATAAAATGGTACTAAATTATACATTCTATCTTCTGATAATAAAGCATTAATGATAATAAATCAAAATGTTAATTTCATTGCAGACTTATAAATATTGTTTCCAACAAAACAAGTTTGCGATTTCAAACAATTGTCTCAAGACAGATAAAGTACAATCTGCATCCGGCTGGGCAACAATGGAAGTGGGTACCCGAGAAGACAAAGGATTTATATTGGGAGCAATTCCAGGTTTGATCATTTGAGTTAAAACCAGATATTTTCCTTTCAAATATCAATTAAGTTGTCTTTAACTTTCAAAAACTGTAACTAATTGTCTTTGACCTATACGATTTGCAAGTTTTTTGGATTATTTATTTTTATAATGCTAAACCAAAGTCCATAAAGGTATCCAATTTAGCATTACATGCATAACATTTTTATACTAATTTATTAACTATTATAATATAAATACTCTATAAGTAAAAGTAAAAGTAACTTTTACTTTTAAACTCTCAATTTTGAGTATTAATATAATTCTCTTTGACATATAGGATTTAGTAAACTGGGATATATCCAAGTTCAGTGATGAAGACATCAGGAAGGGTTACGAAAATTATCTTAAGCATCGTGCTTATTCCAATATAATGTCTAAAATCAGGTGAGTAAAATAATTATTATTTCGTTTCATATTTCAATTTAACTTCTATGAAAAGTGTATATTTTAAATGTTCATATAACACTTTTGAATATTCAAGGGCTTGTCGGCCTCTAACTGTGAACGACTTCACTTGGGGGGTTGTGGAAGAGTTTCGTGGGTCTATTACATTTCAAAGATTGTCTGATTCTGGGAAAAAGAATCGGATTGCCGGTGGAGATAGATGCAAACAGTATGGAGGGTCTCGGTCTGCAGCAGATTTGGCAGCACAAGAGGTTTATTTCTAAAATATATAATCTGTTTTTTATTGTACTTTCTTCACCTATTTCAAATTCAACTATTATTTTTGTAGTCAAGTGTTTCAGGAGAGGAAGTTAACACTGTCAAAATCTGTGTAACTTATCATCCAAGAAAGAGAAAGAATGGAGAACTAATTGACTATGGCTCACAATCAGAAGTCATGGTGTGTTATTGTTTCTCTACTCTAAGTCTTAACAAATCATAATAATTATTCAATTATGTAATTTGATCTGTTGAGTATATTTTGAATTTTCAAAATTATTCCTGAAGTTATCTTCTCTTTGCTAGTATATTTTCTCACATGTGCTTTGTTTTCTATTGCAAGCATCCCCCATGATTTGTGATTGTGATTATCTCTTCAGAATTTTGAAATGTAATTTTCCAGAAGCTCAAGTCTTTATTCTAGGTTAGCATTACAAAACATTACAGAAGGTTAGCATTACAAAGCATTACAGTAGGTGATAGAGTATATCTAGAGAGAAGTGAGAGCTAGAGAGAGAAGTGCAATAATATGCTTCAATAGAATGAATTTGTAACCCCTATAACTACTCCCAAGGGGAGTATTTATAGAGAAAATTAGGGTTGGGCTCCCAAGCCTTGGGCTTGGGAGGCCCATTTACAACTGGACCGCTACTGGGCCGAATACAAAGCCTCTAATGGGCTGTACAAATGAGTAAGTATAGGACCCGATTCTGGGAGGTCTTCGTGGCCGACGAGGGCACGGCCGACGAGGGCACGGCCGACGAGGGCACCCAAGTCCCATAGACTCAGGACCGTAATCTGATTTGGCACCTTTTCGGCCGACGGGGGCGTCATGGCCGACGAGGGCGCCACTCTGTTGTCTTGTGCTCTGTTCTTCCGAGTATGTGGGTCCTGAGGCTCAGACCCATATACTCCATCAGGAGTCCCCCACTCTCTAAGCTGAGACGTAGACGAAGTGAAGGAGAGTAGATTTCTGTGCTTTGTTGCTTTTGGCCGACGCGGGCATTTCCAGGCCGTTAGCCGTTGCGGCGTTGGCGTTGTTTCCTCTTTGGTGATCCTGTTCTGTGTTTTGGCCGTTACTTGTTCCTCGCTGTGGCGGGGAGGCCGTTGTTTCCTTAATTTGTTTTGGGACGATGAGTGTCCTTCTTTCAATGGTGGACGTTGAAGGCGCGCTTTCCCTTTCCTGGACGTTGGTGGTTGAAGTTTACGTTTGGGCCGGTGAAGCCGTTGAGTTTGTTCCTTGCTTTGAGGACGATGGCCTCATTTTCTTTGTGTGGCCGATGAGGGTGTTTGCGCACTCCTTTTGGCCGTTGCTGGTTGGCCTTCGTGTTTTTGGCCGATGAAGTTCCGTTGTGCTGTATGGACGATGTGGCCATGCTTTGTGGTTACTTTGTTCGCACTTTTTTGTTTTGTTGAGGCCGGTGTAGTCCCCCAGTCCCCCACTGCTTCAGGCCGAAGAGTGTGAGGGGTGAAGGAGTTGCTTGAGTCCCTGGCCGAAGCGGTCTCGCCGTAGTCCCCCCTGAATCCAACTCTCATGGCGATTTTCTGGCCAAGGTAACCCTGTGGGAGAACCCTTGTGCGCAGATCGCTTGTAGAGAGTTATCATCAAGGGTTATTACGAGGAGCCGAAGGCTGTGGGCTATTTGTCCCCTTTGTTCTGTGGCCGTTACGTTCCTGGCCGTTGCCATCCGCTTATTATTTGGCATTTGTGATCTTGGTGAGCAAGTGGGACGTTGTGGGCGCTTGCTGGCAGTTGTAAAGCCGCTGAGCGTGTGCAGGCCGTAGAGTCTGATTTGCCGGTGGGCCGTTGATATGGGTTGGTCCTGGCCCGTTGGTGACGTGGTGGCCCCCCAGTGGTGGCCGTTGATGTGGCCATTGGGTGAGTGCCACGTGTAGTGACCGTTGGTGGGGGGTCTATAAATACCCCTTCCCCTCCGACGAAGAATCACATTTGCATTCTGAATTTGTCGAAGTGCTGGCCGATTTTCTAGAGAGATAAACTCCCAAGCCTGTTCTTCGTGTTCTTCGTTGTTTGAGGTTAGTGTTCATCACGATCTTCCTCACTTTTCATATTTTGCTCCGTAAGTAGTTGATCTAGTGTTAGGCGTTTAAACACCTTTAGATCGTAAGTTGTTCTCCTTAAGCCCGTAGTAGTAGTAATGAAGAGCTTGAACGAGGACTACTATCCCTACGACGAACAACCCTCCACAAGGTCCCTTGACTACGAGGTGCTCGAGGAGTTTGAAGAGGAGATAGAGCGTTTAAGCCCCTACAAGTCTGAAGAGCTGGTGGGCGAGGAAGGCGAGGACGAGGAGTCCGCCTCCTCCTCAGAGGGTGAGGACGTAGGCGCGTCCCGAGCGGTGGACGGGGCGTCCACTTCTGCTGCCGTTCCGTGCCCGAGGCCGGTGTCTGCCGTGAAGGGAGCAGCTAAGCCGAAGAGGGTGAGGAGGCCGAAGAATGGGCCGGGCCTCTCCTACCTGGACCTCACCAACATATTCCTGATCAAGCCGGAGAGCAGTGCGGCCGACTATCTTGTCGCCCAGATGTACGTGGGGCCGTACGGGCGGGTTAGGGCACCCAGGCCGACGGACCATGTTCTACTTCCGCCACCGGGATACTTTGGAGTATACCCGATGAGTTTTGCTAAGGGGTTGAGGTTCCCCCTTCACCCTTTCGTCACCGAGTATCTGGACATGGTGGGGCTTCCTCCGGCCTTGTTGACGCCGAACAGTTACTCCTTGATAGTGGGCTTCTTGCTTCGGTGTGAGGAGTTGGGCTACAGGCCGACGACGGCCTTATTCATGAACTTGTACCAGATCGGGCGAGGAAGCCACAAGAATTGTGCGGCCTATGCTACTCTTCAACAGTTGCCGAGGAAGAGGAGCTTCACGGATTTGCCTACGTCCATTCATGGGTGGAAGAGCAAGTTCGTGTTTGTGTCCATTGGTGAGAGTGGCACCGAGTTCCCCTCCCTCGGCCATACCGGGAGGTTCAATCTTCATGACCCGCCGAAGAGCTCTATTTTGGACGCTCAGGTGGAGGCTTTCCTGGAAGGGGGGCCGAGGAGCGTGAAAGATTACGTCACTGAATACAAGATGACGGCCCTCAGCTTCTTCAGATATCACTTGTATGGAGATAAGGAGGATGACCTCCAACTCTGGCCGAGGATGACCACCACCTTTGAGGAGGCCGATGGCCCGAATTTGGGCATTCCTGCTGAGGCCGATGGTAATTTTTCTTCGACTTTCTGTCTTTACGTTTTGTCCTTTGCCTTACTAATCTGTTTGTTTTTTCTTTGTAGACTTTGTCATGGACCGACGCTCCATAATGGCCGTTGCCAAGGCCAAGGCGGCCGAGGAGCTGGCTGCTAAGGCGGCCGAGGCGGCCCGACGTGCCGCTGTGGGTGGGAGCGGGGCTACTGCTGACGCGGCCCCAAAGCCTGCCCCGTCCAAGAAAAAGAGACCGGCCACTGACGGCCAGAAAAAGTTGACCGAGGCCGGCGTGAGCGTCTCTAAGAAGACGAAGAGGGCTCCTTCCCCTTCTCCGGCTAGTGAGGCCGGTACGCTTACTGTTCCCAGCGTGGGCGATGGTGGTCCCGTCGTGGACCTTACTGTTGTTGATGATGTCGCCCCAGTGCTTCCTCTCGTCCAGGAACCACAGACGCAGAGGGCCGGCAAGGAGATTGCCGGTGCCACCTATCAGAAAGTGATAGAGTACCCCGTCGGCGGGGGCGTGTTTAATGAGCTCGTCCCCGGCCACGTCGTCCTGGCCAAGGCCATGCCGGCCAAAGATCGGGCTCATTTGAAGAAGCTCGAGGACCCGAAGATCTATGAGGGCGGTATGGATCTCCTCGTCCAAGTAAGTGATTGCCCTTATATTCTTGTCTCTCTTCGTCTATGTGGAGTTTTTGCCTGACCTTTGTTTTTCTTCTGCAGAGTGCCTTCATGCTTATGGAAAGCCATAAGAGGAAATACTGGGAGATAGCCCGCCTGCAAGCGCTGGAGCAGAAGGCTGCCTCGGCCGACGAGGCGGTAGCTTGCCTTGACCGGCTCCGGGAGGATGCCAAGGCGCTGCAGGCCAAAGCTGATGAAGCCGTCGCGGCCAGGGACGATGCCCTGGTCAAACTCGAAGAGAGCAAAAGGGAGCTCGCGGAGTCCCACAGGGCGCTTGAGGCCGAGAAGCGCAGGAGCGAGGAGGCCGCCAAGGCGAAGGCTGAGGCCGAGGCCGCCATCGTGAAGGCTGCCGATGAGGCCGTTGAGAAGTTCTTGGCCGAGGGGTGGAAGGCCGATGAGAGGCTCCCCTGGTGCTACGAAGCGGTAGCCGCCAAATTGGAGAATTGGGGGATGAACTCCCCTGCCGGCCGGGAGTATTTCAGCCGGGAGATGTCCGTTTACTACAACCTGGGCCAGGAGCGGATGCAAAGGCTCCTGTGTCGGCGGCTATCCCGGGCGTTGAAGGCCATGAATTACACGTCTGGATGGGCTAGACGGAACCTGAAGCTGCCAAAGCTGATGAAGGATCCCGAAGAGCAGGCCAAGCTTCCGCTGTCGGAGCGGGAGTCCCCCATAGAAAGCTCCGGCCTCGGCGAGCCGGACTACACTGAGTTCGACTTCCTTGATGATGCTACCAGTGCTGCACCTGCTGCCGGCCAAGAAGCTGAGGACGAAGAGGGAGCTGATGAGGCCGATGAGGCGGCCGCAGATGGAGGTGCCCCCGAAGCTTGATTGGCTACTTTTTGTAATTAGCTTTTCAATTTTTTGCCAAGTGATGTAACGGCCGTAGTGCCCCCCAATTGTAATGTAGTTTATCAATTGAAGAAATTTTTGCTGTCCTTTACGGCCTTGAATCCCTTGTGTGCTTGTTTGCTTTGTCATTTCAATTCTGTAAATTGTCTAAGTATCAAGTCATAACTTAGGTCACCCGCGAGTGTCCGCTACGTCCGTGAGGTTGGCCTTCCCGTCCAGTAGTCTGGTCGGCCTATGCTTCTTTGTTTTACTGTCATAACACTTAGGATTTTGTTTCGAAAATTTCCCAAGTGTTTTTGGGTCCATGTAGCTCCTGTCTTTACGGCCTAGTGGCTTGATCGGCTTGGACGTAGTTTCATGATACTTAGGAATTTTTCAAAAATTGTCTAAGTGTTTTGGGATCCACTTAGGTGCTTTCCTTTCGGCCTGGTGGCCT